CACTCCATTGATGTGGACATATGTGTCTGGCAAGGGCCTAGTCAACACATTCTTCAAGAAAAGATGAAAATGCTGAGGCCACACAGGTGGAATAGGTGGACCAAAGTGACATGATCCCTTAGAATCAGATCTAATACCAAATATAGCTTCCAGGTCACAAAGCAGAGTATCTCTTAATTGATCCCTGGCAACCTCCTAGAACCAGCTCCTGCCCAGTCATGACAATGGGCACTTTCTGACAATTGATGTTGTAGTCTGATGGCATTTGGCCTTAAAGTATCTTACTGAGTGATGACTGAGGCATCCCTGAACACATAGTGGTACTGTTTTCACAGAAAAGGATTGAAGCACAAGAAATAGAGTTTTTGATTTCTTCCGAAATAGCAATAGTCTAAGAAATTGTTGGCAAAAGCTAAGCAAAAGGGACACAAGAGGATGAGGTTTTCCGTGTGGGTGGTGGGTTGTGAGTGATCAGTTGGCAAGACCTAAGTCAGCTTGAAGACCATGAGCAGGTTGTAGAAGCATGAAGAAATGTAGGTCCACGAATGTCCTGCAAGCAGCAGGAAAGATGAAGGCACTAAACAGGAAGCTCCACCATCACAAAATGTGTTGAAAGCATGTTTTACCTTGTGGGAAGTTATTACTCACCAAGCAGGGCCCGTGGCTGCACTTTGGCATGTTGGGGGCTCCGGATTGTTCCAAACACTTCATTCTCTACACCTGGCCCATGTCTTTTTCATAACACACCTTTCTCTTAAAGGGGATAGGGTAATATGATTATGAACATACATGAAGTTCTTCACCTGTTGAAGAATTTACCTTTCTTGTCTCAGCAGTCTGACAATAGCCCCTTCATCACTCAGCCTCCTTGCCCTTGGCTGCTCTGACTGGCCCTGACCTTGACAAGGTGAGCTTCCCTGGAGCTCTGATTACTGCTTGTGTCCCAGGCTGGATGAAAGTAGAAGCAGTTTCCAAAGAAGTCCCTGTTAGGGTACCTGCGCATGAAGCACTGCTCCTGTTGGGGCACTCCGTTCCCTGGACCACTGAGCCCTCAGTCCATCAGCAGTTAGTCATTAAGCGCTGCCCACATGCTCAGCACAGCCTGACTGGCCACTGTTCACAAGGCCTTTCCAGGTACATGAGGTAGGGGTTGGTCAGTGAGACCTTGAGCCCATCTTTAAGGCTGGAGGGAATTCAAATGGCTGAGAAATAAGTGCCAAGGTCATTTGTGAAAGGGAATGAAAGGCTTAAAAGGTTAAAGACATTGAGAATCAGTTTAAAAATTTTTAAATGTTCTTCCAGATTCTCAGATGAGATTCTAAAATCTATAACTGAAAGCAAGTCTACTCTTACAACTTTATATAAGATTTGTCCAATTAGGGGCCCAGCATGCTGGCCCAGCTGCTAAAGTCCTCGCCTTGAAAGTGCTGGGATCCCATATGAATGCTGGTCCTAATCCCGGCAGCTTCACTTCCCATTCGGTTCCCTGCTTGTGGCCTGGGAAAGCAGTTGAGGACGGCCCAAAGCCTTGGGACCTTGCACCCATGTGGGAGACCTGGATGAAGTTCCTGGTTTCCAGCTTCAGATTGGCGCAGCACTGGCACTTGCGCTCACTTGGGGAGTGAATCATCAGACGGAAGATCTTCCTCTCTGTATATCTGACTTTGCAATGAAAATAAATAAATCTTAAAAAAAAAAAAAGATTTGATTTGTCCAATTAGTAAATGATCAACTTCAATACACAAAATAGTCATATGCCTTGAACTACAGTCTTAGAGTTTGCTGGATTTTTCATATTATTCATCTTGGCAGTCTTAACTGTATGTATACTGAGCTTATGGGCCTAATATTGAGGAAGAAAATTATAAGGCAAAAAATGCAAATTAAAAATGACCATTAAACTACTGGTGTTTACCTATTGGAAATTCACACAGGCTTGATCCTTCAAATCTGCTTATTTGTTACATTTTCAACATTTCGATGTCATGCAGCTAGCTGATGGTTATTGTAATTCATCAATTACTTTAACCACTGAGTGTACATTTTTGTCATTAACACAGGTTGCATGTGTGCCTGGAAGTAGAATTAAATGGATGGAATAAGTTCATTCTTTCTGCTGCCTTGTCACGGCATCCTCCAAACTCAGGGTGGTCATCAACTATTCCATTTAAGAGACTTTGGAACCATATACCTCTCTTCAGAACCTCATGTTTTTTTTTAAAGATTTCTTTATTTCTTATTACGAAGTCAGATATACAGAGAGGAGGAGAGAGAGAGAGAGAGGAAGATCTTTTGTCCGATGATTCATTCCCCAAGTGAGCGCAGTGGCCGGTGCTGTCCCCAATCCGGAGCCAGGAGTCAGGAACTTCCTCCAGGTCTCCCACAAGGGTGCAGGGTCCCAAAGCATTGGGCCATCCTCGACTGCCTTTCCAAGCCACAAGCAGGGAACTGGATGAGAAGTGGAGTTGCTGGGATTAGAACCAGCATTCATATGGGATCCTGGCACTTTCAAGGCGAGGACTTTAGCCGCTAGGTCACTGTGCCGGGCCCAGAACATGTTTCTACTGGTTTCCAAAGTTGTTCCTGGCGTTTTTCTCCTTTGTAGTTTGCCAAAGTCCAGCTCCAGCCAAATTTGGAACTCGAGGAAGGTGTGTGGAATAGGTGTAGAAAAAAAAAAGAAATGGACCACTACAATTCCAGGATCATAAAGGACAATGTGAGAAAGCTATCCGCTTTATTTATATAGAAGTAGTCACAAACTCTGGCACAGACTTTTTATGTCATGGTCAAGTGGGTGTTCCCAAGGATAATTCTGCTGTTTGTTTCACCTTAAAACTCTCAATAGAAGTTCTCAGTGGATGGTGCGTATCAATCAGTAACATTCCTACTACAGTCCTCATTCTACAACTTAATCTTGAATTAGTTAAGGGAGAAAATGCATCATAGAAGGAGGGAGCTAAAGATCAGGAATGGTGAGTGGAGACAATAGAGACAGACAGCATGAATTGTAAAAGGCCATTTTGCCAAGATGTTATCAGCAACATCAACTTCCAAGCTCACATTGATAGTGAAGACCACCTCTGCAGTGGCAGACAATGCCTAAATAGATTACAGAAATCTCAGCGGGGTTGTCTGGTGTCCATGCACAGGGAAGTGGAAATGCCTTCAGGTGGGTGCAGAAACATCCGCCTGGCCTTGCCACGCAATGGGAAATTCCTTGTGGCCTTGCCTGCAATGGAACAGTTCTCTTCACACCTTCGTGTCTTCCACACCCACCACACGGACCCCAGCAGTAGTTAACAGGCTTGTCTCCCAGTTTGCCAGGGTGAAGTGGTTCTTTTTCTATTAGCTGTTTCCAGCTGTGGAGTTGGGACGGCAGGTAGGATAGGTTGTAGGGTAGGGACCAGCAGATTATAGTTGGGGTGCAAAAGATATATTTGCATTTCTTCACAAGTTCCTCCAGTTGTATATCTCCTGGATTTATTAGTACTGGATATCCCACATCATTTGGCTTTGCCTTAACAGTGCTTTTGTTTTCCCAGGAATGGTTGTCGTTGGCTGGGGAAGTTTTGAGTGTTTGCAGAAAATGGCCAGGAGAAATGGGTTGACAGGCTTACTCATTCAGATTTTTAAGAATTGCTTTTGAGATCAAACATCAGATGGGAGGACTGTCTCAGGAAAATGGCAATGTAGATCAAGATTCCCCACCTTATTAGAACAGTTTAGACTTTACACTCACCCCTTTGTGCATAAAATATTTTTAAAAATATCCATTTATCTCCAAGTATAATACGATACGACTTTCTCAATTTCTTAAGGCTTGTTTGGGAATCTTTGGACCCACTCTTGAACTTCTGGATTCAGCATGAGATGCTTAGCATCCTTGGTTTACTTCCTTCTTAACACCATCACAGCAGCCTAACTGGTTCATCCCTGACGAAAAACTTTTTAGGGATTGGACAGCCTGATAGGGCAACGCCAGGTTGTGTATGTGTCATACCACCCTTCTTGTATTCTTCATCCGATGCTGTAATATCTGTATTGGAGGCCCGTGGTAGGAGCTATGTTTGTAGCACAGTGATAGAATCAAATGAATGCTCTTTTTAAAAATACCTGGTTCCGGTTACCACCAGATGGCTCTATTGTATCATTGTGTCAAAACAGTGGTCTCAGACACCAAAGGGAAAAACCAAAGCAGCAGATCCTGTAAATAGACAGGAACTAAGTTTATCCTTTGTGGGGTTAATCAGAAGCAGCTGAAGCAGCAGGTGCACTCAGAGAAAAACAGAGCACAACCAGAAAGGCTGAGGGAAGGTCTGGAGCCTTGCATCTGGGCTGTTTTCCTCTTGCCATTTCACACTGCTCTGTGATTATTAATTGTCCCAATAGCCAGAGATTCATTAGGGTGTGCTCCAGACTCAGGAGGGCCATCGCTGATATCCATGCCACATCTGCAGACTCGTCAGCTTCAGTGGAGGAGAAGCAACTTGAAGATCGTCTGGGGAGGCAAAGTCTACACAGCTCCTGATGGGAATACTTAGCCTGACGCTGGGGAAGGAGCTGATTCTGAAGCCTTGGGTCTCTGTCTTGAATTCCTTCTGTGTTAAGAAAGTGATGACCAGAGGAAACAGGCCCTCTCTGAAGTTCAGATGACCCTGTTGCTCATATTTGGTGAAGGTTAAAATGGCAGCCTAGGGTAACAACCTCATTAGGAATGTGACCTTTTGATTTTCCCCACGTGAAGTTGCATATTAATTATATTCCAGAGGGAATAGTTTTCTTATTTCCTGAGGCTGCTTTATCGTCATCTGATTTTTACTCTCTCATTCAGACCCTAAACTATTAAATAAGACTAATCTTTGAGAATGTTTTGTTTTATTATTGTGCTTTGGAAAAGGGATGGACCGTTTATTAAGCCTATCCTAAGCCCATAAAATTGTTTGAGACACATTCAGGAAACTCTCCAGGTCAAAAAGTAATAGTTGATTATTGTTTTAAAGAAAGACTCCCTGGACGTCGGACAGACAGCGTTTGCTTTGGCCCATCTTGAGTCCTTGGAGATTTGCCTAAAGGAAGCAGAAGAAAAGGCTAAAGTTTTATCCAAACAGGTAATACTTGTCATTGGGACTGGAAATATATCTTCCTCAGAGTGCAATGTTGGCAAGTGTGTAAATTCTAAACATGTGTTCTAACCTGTGCCCTTCTCACACATTTACATGCACACACATGCAGCATCTCATTCATTTTAGTTATAGCAGAACTTGCTTTAACATGTGTGGAACTTTTCTAGCTTAAATTTTAGAACTTTTTCTTCCCCCACATTTATATTTGATTTGGTTTTCATTTGACACAAGTCTGGAGTTAGGCAAGGTGTCTTAAAGTGGTTTTCCGGAGTAAGTAAAGTTTGTTTGTGTTAGCAGCAGAGGAGCCCAAAGATAAAATTAAGCCTATTAGAGTCCTACAGGATGGATTGTTTTGATTTATTTGAGAAAAGTTTACGTGGAAGAGGGTTCTTCAAATATTGGCTTCCCTCTTGGGTTTTTGAAACTCCTCGAAACAGAGCATATTGTTGGTCAACCTGGCCTGTACAGAGGTCCCTGCACTTTAGACTTCTATGCATTGCATTCAGCAGGTAGGTCCTTTGAAACCCAAACCAGTGAGACTGCTCTTTGTCAACAATTCACAGTACAGCTATTTGTTATCAGTGTCTTTCCTCTGGGGCCAAGGGTCTGGCTGCAAAATGTCTGGGTTCCCCGTGTGGCATGGGGACATCTGTGCTTATTCTGAGTGACAAGTGGAGAAAAAAATGACAGAAGGGACCCCTAGATGTGTAGAGGATTTGTTCATCTCTCATAAATTGAGAAATTTGGGTGAGAAGATATCGACAACATTTTTGAAACACAATCCGGGATTTAAAAAAGAATACAGGTGGTATCTTTGAACAGTATAATCTGATTGTAACAAACGTATTAGAATTTTTGAAGACATGCAGGGCAAGAGGTACTTGAGTTACTGACAAGGACTCCAGGGGCTGTGGAAAGGAAGATACGTGATGTAACGCTCCAGGAGCCCTGAGAGATCACCTGTTCCAAACGTCTCATACATCTGGCACTTGATTGAGCGTCCTGTAGCTGTGTCTATACCAACAGGCTACATCCATGTCAGTCCCATGATTGGCTTTATTTGCATACATAAAACCGCTCAACACAGACCTTGGTTAGCAACCGCTTCTGGATTCCTTCCCAGTTACCAAGAGATTTCTCTTGGCAAACTTAACTTTGTTTTGTGCATTCTTCCTTTGTCAACATACCTCATTCTTTGCGATCATGAGACAATCCAGTGGTGATAAAAGAGCTGTTCACAAAAATAAGGTGACATAAAAGCTGTGATATTGCAAAACTTCAGTGGAAAGAAACATCTCCAGTGTTTCTTGGGGGCAAGACATAAATCTGATTAGAACTGCAGACATCTGCTATGTTATCAGAGAAGGATATATAAGTAACATGCAATGCACTGACACACCCAGTGACCTCCGTGTATTTTTCAACTTACTGAAAAAGTGCACCTCTTATGTTGGGATGTTCACAGGTGACTGACTAGCCGGGATTAATGCAGGGGGTCACTAAAAGCTCTGAGTCAAAGAAGAAAGTATGTTGTCCTTTGGGAAATACATTCATACCGTAGCCTCTGCTTGTCATTTTTTGTTCTACAGATGAAGGCAAGTCTCACATTGTAGCAGAGTTATGAATAATTGAGATTGTCTTGGTGAATTTGAGATGCCACTCAAAGCCAAAAAGCTTAAGAATTGCAGATCCTCCAAATCAAAGAGAGTTCACCTCTGTTGGTCTTTGGCTGCACTGGGGTCGATGTTTATTTTTTTGTTAAATGAGTTTTAGTGATTTCTCATGTAAATCAGTGAGATTCAGGTCATTCCTGAAAGTACCCATTGCTTCTATTGTTTGTAAAATATTTCTACCCCATATAAATAGTCACTCATTAGTTAATGATCTTAACTGCATGATCTCTTTACATAATACCAAACAATTCCAAAAATGAATTCCAAAAATGAATTTATTTTTTCAGGGTTGAGAAGATTAAATACAGAAAATAGGAACTGGGTTTTGTTCAGCTTCTTTGTGACTGGCCTAAGTGAGACACAGGTTAGATGTTGGGGAAAAAGATTTACAAAGGGCTTTAAAAAGTTGGTGGGGGAAAAAAAATGGAATTGAAAGATAATATGATTTGGCCATGAACTTTTTGAAGCTCCTTAGTGAGAAAGAGGGTTCTGTACTCACACATGACTCAGAAAGCAGAATCATTGAAAAAGTGGTTAGAAAAAAAAATCATGTTCTTTGGCTTCTAGATGAACTAAACTGCATGACAATATTAGGTTTCTGGTCAAAGGGTGTGATTTTGTCCTAAAGTATAGTTCTTGAAGTTCCAAGTTTATGTAACCAGGTGAACTTAGTCGGGTGTTGGTCAGTTTGAGGAGGAGAGGCTGGTGTGTATAGGCACATAGCGGATATTTTCAGATTACTTTTTTTAGTTAAGTTGAGCATTTTGTTAGGTTTGGCTGTGTCTACCGTTACAGCTGAAATAGATCAAATACTGAGACTGTTTTCAAAGGATTTCACCCCAAAGTTTTGAGTTTCTCCAGTGTTTCAGTGTAGTTTTCAAGTATCCTTGAAAAGATAAAACTGTAAGAACAGTTTTCCTGCCTTTGTTACAAAATTTGATTTAGTGTTTTAAGAAATAGGATGAGCGAAGCCTAGGCTAAGGAGAGCAAGTGACCTTTTTTAAGAACGTTCTTGAGAGTATTTCAGCGTGAAACACCTGTCTCCAACAGTCAAACATTTGTCCACTGGGTGCCACTGTCTTCCTTATCTGGTTATGCCACCAAGCAACTGCAAACAGATTGTTTCTATTTGTAGTGTGTGTATGTGTGCTTGGGAGAATATTTTTGCCACTACCCACATTAAGGCTTCTTCAGTGGAATTTATTTATGATTTATCACAAAGATATTGAACACTAGTTGCCTTCATAGTAACTCAAATTGTGTATAAAGGTTCTTCAAATTTTCACGGAAATTAGAACATGTTCATTTTGAAACCCATGCCAAGCTTTTTCAGCATATGCATTTTTCACAAACTTTTAAAAAAATATTCCAAGGCACGAATTTCAAAAGTTGGAATCAAAATTAAAGCCCCTTCCAGTGTGAGCCCAATGGCTGAGTACTGGGCTGGCCCGGTGAGCTAAAATGGGGTGGACAGAAGAATGATGAGAGGAAAACTCCGTGCCAGACGAAGGAGTGTGGACTTATGATCTTGTCAGTTGGTGGGATTTGCCTGTGAGGAAAGGATAAATCTCCCTGCTAGCCAAAGTCTTAGCTCTCAGCTTGGCCTTCTGGGGACGAACACAGAATTAGATCAGGATGGAAAGTCTCAGCGCCAGGAGCCGCTGTCTTCCTCCAGCAGCTGTTGGCTCTGAGCCTCAGTTTATTCACATAGGATATTTTAGTGCCTCCTCCAGCAAAGTCTCCCTGGTGCACTATGAAAATAAAAACAAAAGCAAACCCCCAAAACAGGGAAGAAATCAGGAGCTGCTTATTGTGGTTCCTTCTGCTGGTGAGGTCACAAGCAAACGGAATTCGTTCTTGGGCTCTAGCTGGCAATTATCCTTTGTTTCTCTGTACCGTGTCACTGTTGTCAAAGTAAAAGAAATGCGGGATCAGGATCATGTAAGAATAAGACTTCCAATCTGTGCTGGTCAGAACTGTGAGAAATAACCAGCCAGGCAGCTGGCAAGAGTGGGAAATTGTCATGAAACTCTAATATTTTAACCTGGGTTTTAATGATAACTCAGAACTTTACCCAGTTTCACTTAACAGAATGCTCGATTATGTTTTCCTGTAGGTTTACAATCTGTGGGAAGAAAGCCAAATGTCTGGAAATTGTAGGAAAAGAGAAAGAAGAGGGATTTAAAAAGGGCAGGAACAGGCTAAGGATGAGTAGACGGGTTTCTACAGAACTCACAAAAAGCAATTGTTGTGTGTGAGCTGGCTGCTGTCACCAGTGCATTTCGGGGTACCAGGAGTGCGTTCAGGGGTAACAGGAGTGCATTCAGGGGTAACAGGAATGCGTTCAGGGGTACCAGGAGTGCATTCAGGGGTACCAGGAGCGTGTTCCGGGGTACCTCTGGCAGGCTGCTTTCTGTGACTACAGATGCAAATAGATGTGATAGTTTGTATGCTGTCTTAAGATTCCAAGAAAACCCACAGATTCCCCATAAAGCGTGGATCCTTCAGTCCTGGTGCTGGCATTGGACCCAAGCTGGGTCTGTCCCGCTCATTGGGGGCTGCTAGAACCCAGCTGCAGGCATCCGCCAGGGTGAAGTTAGGCTTTGCTCTTGCCCGGCTAGCTTTGTGATATCAAACAGTTCACTTGTATTATCTTATCCAGGAGGTGGGTACTGTGATAGTTTTGTAGGGTTATTTGAAGATGAAATGAAAGAGGTGATTTTCCTCTTAGCACATGCTGTGGTCTGAATGTCTGTGTCTTCCCTAAGTTGGTCTATTGAAGCCTAACCCCTACGGGGATGAGAATGATACATCCTCAAGAGGTTATTAAATTAAGAGGGTGGAGCTGTCATGTTTGAAATCACAGTCCTTGTAAGTGGAGACTTAAAAAAACTGGTGGAAAATAAAATTAAAAGATGTTTATTGTGGTGTAAGAAAATTCACATCTGTGTGTCTGAGGGATTTTCAAAAGCATTCATGGAAAATATACCCTGAAAACACGACACAGGGATTTCCAACATTCTGTGCATTGAATTGCATTTTCACATGAGCTTTTTGAAGTTGCCTCATGCAAGAGGCCGTATGTGGGTAAAGCTGCCAAGTATGACCCAGGAAGTGGCTCTCGCCAGGCACTAAATGTTGATGCCTCTGTCTTGAATTTCTCACCTGTGGAACTGTAAGAAACATGTTTCTATGTTGTGTAAGCTACCCAATTCCATGGTATCTTGCTGTAACAGCCCAAACAGACTAAAAAAGTCAGTGAATTTCCACTGCTGCTTGTAGAGGTCATTCCTACTGCATGATTCTCTGCAT